AATAAAAATAAAACCCACCTCACAACTAGTCTAACATTAAATAATTTATCTTTAGAACAGTCAAAGGAAATAAACTTTCTAGGTCTAACTTTTGAGAGAACTTTAAATTGGAATTCGCACATAAATAAACTACAGCTTTCCTGTCAAAAAAGATTAAATATACTCAAAATATTATCCAACAAAATTTGGGGTGCTGATCATAAAATATTAATTAGGCTTTACAAATCGCTCATTAGAACTAAAATCGACTATGGTTGTATATGTTACGATGCTGCATGTAAAACCACTCTAAAAAAACTAAACAGTATTCAAACTACAGCTTTGAGATTAGCACTGGGAGCTTTTAAAACTAGTCCGGTTAGTAGTATGCAAGTTCTAACTGGAGAACCTCCCTTACATATAAGACGACAGCAACTATCCTTGAACTACATTGCAAAGATATCATCCCAGAAACAGCATCCTGTATTTTTCCATATCTGCAACCCTGGCCTTCCTCCTAACAATAAGACTAAAAACTCTACACCCCTCATAGAAAGAATAAAGCTTACAACTTTCGATAGGAATCATTTCAATGCAACGCTACATATAAATGCAAACTATCCCCCATGGACAAGCCACCCATTAACTATTGATGTAACACTTACCAAGTATCCCAAATCAACTACAAATTCCACAATAATTAAATCTCTATTCATGGAAATTCTAGACCACTATCCTAATTATTTGCAAATCTTTACCGATGCCTCTAAAACTCCCAATGGTCACGCTGCTGCCTACTACTGTAAAGAAAATTCTTATAGCATATCGATACCAACCAACTGCAGTATACTAACAGGTGAAGCTACAGCTATTTTGGAAGCCCTAATCTTCTTCGAAAAGAGTAGAACGATGAAGTGCATTATCGTAACAGACTCATTAAATGCATTACTGAAACTGAAACAAATATATACCAACAACCCTATTATACAGAGTATAAAAAACGTACTAGAAAAATTTCCATCATTAGGAAAGGAAGCGGCTTTTATTTGGGTACCTTCACATACAGGTATTTACGGAAATGAAAAAGCAGATCAACTGGCTAACAAAAGTCGAATGAACTCAAACCATACTGCACAATTGAAGACATATCCGTACACCGATCTAAAAAACCTGGTTAAAATCCATTGTATTAATACTTGGCAAAATTATTGGGAAAAATTAGGTACTAAATTAAATGTAATTTGCCCAAAAATAACTGATGTCCTGGAGACTCCTTTAAACAGAAGAAACCAAGTCATTATTAATCGTCTAAGAATTGGCCATACTGCCTTAACACACAAATACCTAATAACAAAAGAACCACTACCTATCTGCTCCAGCTGCTCTAACCCACTGACTGTCAAACATATCCTGCTTGATTGGCCAGTAGCGCACCTAGAATTGTCCTCTGGGGGGGGGGGGTGAAGGTTTGGTTGGGCACCGAACTTTTTTCTGTTACCTCCACCATTTTAAGTCCTTAAAATTTGTAAAAAACAGTGTCGGAATAGGGTCCTGGGGGGGGGGTATGACCCCCAACACCCCAGCGGGTTTAATTAAATTATTAGACCATTTTTCTATGAGGAAAATTTAAAATCAAAAAAGTTGTTAAACTTACTACAAGAAGAGTTTTTACCTAGACTTGCAGAAATAGCTCCAGATGACGAAGACATTTGGTTGCAAATGGATGAATGCCTTACGCACAATAACTGGGAGGTTTTCCTTAAAAGCAGCTTTAACAATTGTTTAATTGGACCTAACTGTAACATTAATTGTCCTCCGAGATCGGAACATCTAGCTCCAAACGATTATTTTATCTCTATCTAAAATCAAAAATCTATTCTGACCAAAAATATACAGATTATTTACAGATATTGAAGCATTAAAAATGCGAATTATTGAACAGTGTTAAAAAATAACACCACGCGTTCTGGCTAATGGTAGAAGAGAATTTTACAAACCATTGGTAACGTGAACTAGTCGCGTCCGAGAACATGTACATACTCCTACCTCGTATGGAGGCCCCTATGGGGAATAACAAAAGACCATTACAAAGTGTCATCTTCCATTGTTTAATAATGTACAGAGTGAGTTGTGAATTTTACCGAAATTTCTACTCGTCATAACTTTTGAACGGTAAGGTCGATGTGTCTCATATTTGGGTCAAACTTTATACCATTACCACCTAATCAACTAATTTATTTAAACTGCAAAAATATGAGATCCAGCTTTAAAAAATTAGTTCGTTTTTTCATACCAAACATTTCACCCTGTATAAGGTTTTTGAAAACTCTAATAAGAATTTTATAAATTAGACAAATAGACATTTAAAATGATATTATTTTTTTCCTCACAAGATGACTTAATTTTTAATTTAGAAAAAAATAAATTTTACTATTAATTAAAGGTTTAGCAAAGTGAACTATCGATGTAAAAAAGGTAACTTTTCTTGCAAAAATTATCATTTTGTGAACCAACATTTAATTTAACAAACAAACTGGACCTGATTTAAACTGAAAAAATCAGATTCTTAAAAAACTAGTTCGGTTTTTTTTGTTCAAAGAAAAGATTTCATCCTCTATACCTTTTTTAAAAACTCTAATAAGAATTTTCTAATCAAGACAAATAGGCAATTAAAATGACTTATTTATTTTTTCCCACACGATTACTTAATTTTTAATTAAAAAATCAAATTCGAATAGAATTAAAAGTTTGACACACTGAATTACAAATTTAAAAAATGTTAATTTTCTTGCAAAAATGAAATTTTTTTGAAAATTCATTTAATTTCTAAGTATTAATACTATAAACGCTCGTGGTTTTCATTTTAAATAATCAATCCTTTTGCCAATTTCCAGAATTTTAGAAAGGTACAAGTTGTTTTGAATTATACTAAAACATTGTCCTGTATAATATTTGTTTAGTAATTCATCGTTAATGTCGTTTTATTGAAGTCTCAGAATTGTATTTTACTTTTTCTCAAAATAAAAGGCTACAGTAATAATCAGCTTTATTTTGAGTTATGGAAACATTAAAAATAACATTCATTCAATCTGTGGTTTAGTTTGCCAAACTTTTAATTCATAGTCAAATTTGATTTTTGATTGTCTAATTTTGTCTAATTGTCTAAGATATTTTGTAAAATTGTCTAATTTATAACATTCTTATAAGAGTTTTAAAAACCGTATCCAGGGTGAAATTTTTACTACGAATAAAACGAACTAATTGTTTAACACCGGACCTGATTTTTTCCAGTTTGAATAAATCACTAATCTATGCTAAGCTATGCTTAACTTTTAATTCATAGTCAAATTTCGTTTTTACTTTAATATCCTTATATTTTCATCCCTAAAAATCTTTTGACCAAAATATGACCAATCTTTTTGTGACACCCTGCATAAGAGGGTAAATAAGATATAGTCTAACAAGCTGTCTAAGAGACTGTTTAATATTCAGCTCAGCGTGGTTCTATTTTTCGAAGTGTGAAATTACATAAACAAAGCATCATTTCATAAAACAGGTAGATTCGTTGTTTATGGAAGTTGACACCTCGGAACAGTAGCAGCCGCTAAGGTGAATATTCTTGTTATACTATATGGTAAGATTTTTTATTATCTGTTCTATTCTCATATCTCTGCTAAAAATAGAAATGCGTTCCTAATGTTGTTAAGGTGTCTGTTAATGATGCCTCCACTTTCTCACTATTTTGGAATAACAGGTTTACTGCTCCTACAAAGTTAGTTCCATTGCCGCTGTATATATGACTGCGCTGTCCCCTTCTTGAAGTAAATCTCTTAAATGCAGCGACAAATGCATCCGTTGTCATATCGCTTACTATTTCGAGATGTACAGTTTTTGTGGCTAGGCATACAAATACTGCTAATATCCTTTATAGCTCTTGTACCCTCTTCCTTTGGTTTCTCTTATTTTGATTGGTTCGGCGTAGTATACACCAGTATTTGAAAATGGATGAGCTTGATTTACCCTCGCTCTTGATAAACTTCCCTTTTGTGCATAGGAATCTACCGCACCATTGCTTTTCCTTTACGATTTTGTTCATGTACTTGTAGACTTAGAAACTTTGTACATTTGAACAGTTTATGTTCTTCATGACACACCACACAGGTTATCCTCTTCTTTACCTGTTGTCTGTTATCTGTTGTAGGAATTCCTGTGTTGACTTACATGTCGGAATGTCCCTACTGTCTTGAATTGACGTTTCATATAATCTCTTGGTTTCTGTGTCCCACTTTAACATGCTTATCCTTGTTATAAGAGGGCTCCAGGACTCTGTCATTATACCTAGTCCACTAATCGCTTCTAAGCATTCGTGGAGAGTATCATGTAATGTTTTCAGCGCCTTTGCTGACGCTTCTTCTATTTCCGCAGCCTCAAGTATCTTGTATATTAATATAAATAGATTCATCCTTGGATTATCGTACCGATCTTGCAACATTTTCCAGGCAGCACTGTAGTTTGCTTCTGTTACTACTTCTCCTCGGAGGCTTGTCTTCGAATACTTCTAATGCCCCTTTGTCCGATTATACTCGATCGACGATGGTAAATAAATGGTTGAAATGTGGAGTAAAAATTTTGTTGGTTAGATAACTTTCTATAATAGACTGCGCTCAAATGAGCTCAAATCCCCAATTTATAATTTCACAAATAATGTATACTTCAGCACAGAGGTTAATGCTTCTATCATACTAACAAGCTTTGAACTATGAGCTTACAATACAATTCAATCTAGGCCGTTATTGCAACACTTAGGAAGTTCAATTAGAAAATATATTATTTGGCAATTTATTAAGTTTGCAGGTTGAATGGACTCTAATTATTAAAATATTACTCGATATGTTTCACAATGTTTCAATTATGCATGGTAAAACTATAAACTGTTAAGAAGTTAAGAATAATGTGAGATTACAAATTAGATGATTAATTTGTGATTGTACACTATATATCACTTTATATCTTTGTTGCAGATATTCTAGTCATAACAGATGGGGTAGTTGCAATGCCGGATTCAAACATAATGGAATCTTTACTGTTTCAATTACACTATGATAGTATAGCCATTTCATTTTTGAAAGTTGGTTCTAGTTTTCATCCTCATTCAGGTGCTGGATTTGTTTCATATACCGAATTATTATATTTCTTTGCATATTCCACTTTAGGAACATGCTTGGAAAATTTTGTTAAAGTCGTAAGTATTCACTATTTTGTTAATTAATTATATAAAAATCAATTGAAAAATACTTATATGCGCAAATATATCCATGCAAGCAAAAGATATATTTGTATTTATTTACATTTTATTTGAAGATTTGTTACAATTTTGTTGTTTTTTTTTGTTGTATGTATGTAGATTTGTCTTAATTTTACTTATTTTATTTTATCTTTCATATTTAGCCACGTGAGCCGTCCACAGAAATGAACATTTACCATGAACTATTTCTATTATGGTCATTTCACAGCACCAACCGATACGCTTGTTCTAAAGTATGTGATAGTAACAGATGGACTTCTGCGTAAGTAATATTAACAATATTTGTAACAATAAAACACTTTGTTTTCAAAACTTCCACAAAAATTATTATAAACTCTTATCACTACAGTTGTTTTGGCAGATTGCCGAAAGAATTTAAACACAATTTGCCTCAACATAATAATCATAAAACTTTAGAATATTTAGGTATAGAATGTGAAGTAGCATTAAACAAAACTGCTAGCACTATCGAAAAAAGTATAATTGCAAAATCTATTACAGATGTATGTAGCGAAACCAAAAATTACTCTTACAAAGAAAATAAAACAGTATCGATCGTTCTTTTGACCGAGTCAGTCGATAATTTCGTTAAAGGCCGAGCCGGTTCCTAATTACTTGGTGTTTGTTTTTAACTTTTTACATATTAGACAAAAAATTAAAAAGTGTATACTAATAATTGATACAAAATAATATCGGTCCGATGGGGGACAAAAATAAACAAGGGACGTCTTTTATGACGACAGATACTGACATAAATAACAGTGATTCCAATTTAAGTGTTAATAATATTAATAATAAATCTAGTGAGGATAGTGATGTCCAGAAAACAGCGAAGCAGTTGGAACCGAAAACATTCAATCTCCTCTCAGATAAGTACAATGTACAAAATATTTGGGTATACATAGAAAGTACCGACAATAACAATTTGGGTAGATTACATCCAATGACTGTTGGTCATATTCTTTTTAAAAAATTTAATCTTAAAAGCATTCTTGAAATTAAAAGTATAGGCCGAAACCGGATTAAAGTTTTATTAAAATCACTTCTAGAGGCAAATAATTTAGTAAATCATCTACAACTGAAATCAGAAAATTTAAGAGCATTTATACCGAACCATTTACTGGAAGTTAAAGGGCTAATAAGAGACGTGGATACTCGTTTTGATATTGACTATCTCATGGAAAATATCGAATCAGACTCACGCGTTATTAACATATATAGGTTAAATAGGAAAGTGCAAAAAGAAGACAAAACAGTCGAATTTGTACCAAAAAAATCTATTGTCGTTACTTTCGAGGGGAATATTTTACCAAATCGCGTAGCTTTTAATCGAGTTTTTTTCTCGGTTGAACAATTTGTAGGAAGAGTAACCCAGTGTTACAAATGTTTAAGATATGGGCACGTATCTAAACAGTGTAACAGCACTCAAGAAAAGTGTATAAATTGCGGTGAAATTAAAGACGATAAACATAATTGTGATAGAAATATGATTTTTTGTATACACTGTAAAAGCAAAGATCACGTATCTATCTCAAAAAAGTGTCCCTCTTATGACAATCAAAAAAAAATTAAAAATATAATGATAGAGCAAAAAACCTCATTTAAGGAAGCCAAAGAAATATCTGAAAATTCCTTATCCAGTTTAGTAAGTCACAACTCCTTTTCACCTCTAACAAATTATGACAAACATTTTCCAGAACTTCCTAACAACGAACGTAAATCTTTATCTCAGCCAAATCGTAATCAAATCTCTTCAAATTTCAATTACAATCAAAATAATTCCTTTTCTCAACACACTCATGCGAGTGCTAGACCTCCAATCAAAAAGAAGAGAAAATCAAACTCTCCCACTATCCAATCACCTGTTCAAAAACCATTATTTCCATTCACCTTTGGACCTTCACAACCTTTGACAATAAATTCAAATAAACCAAACTACTCTAGTTTGGAAATCAATAAAAGTAGTATAGCTAGCAATTTATCGATTTTTATCATGGACTTTATTAATAAAATAATTTCAAGTAACAATAAACAACCTATTGATATTAACGTAATTACAAGTAGTATAGAACAAGTATTGGAGGATACTTTGAAAAACCAATAAAATTCAATCCAAAAACACGCAATTTAAATATAATGCAATGGAATGCACGTTCTGCTATAGCTAACAAAAATAGTCTGGTACAATTTCTTTTTGATAAAAATATCGACGTTGCGCTTATAAGCGAAACTTGGTTTAAAAAAAATCAACAATATAATTTTGGTGGTTACAATGTAATCCGCAATGACAGAAACGATGGCTATGCTGGTGTGGCAATTTTAGTACACAAATCTCTTCGATTTGTGGAACAAAAGATCAATATAAATTACAATGAAAATATTTTAGTATGTGCTATACAAGTTAAATATGGAACTTTATCGTTAAATTTTGTATCTATTTATAATCCTCCAAAAATACAAACAATATATGAAGATTGGGTAAAAATTTTTGAACAGTTTGATGGGCCTTTAATTATAGGCGGTGATTTTAATGCACACCACTCTATATGGGGCTGTCATAATAATGATACCACAGGATCACAACTAATAAATGTTGCAGATGATTTAAATTTAACGGTTTTAAACAATGGAGAACCTACGATTTTAAGACGTCCCGATCAACGGGATTCAGCAATTGATGTAACCTTTTGTTCACCTGAACTAGTTAACAAAACATCTTGGAATGTCATCTCTGATACCCTAGGATCAAATCACTATGTCATTTCTATAGAATTAATTTTTGCAATTAATGAAAATGAAATATCTCCTAAAAATAAATGGAATATTAAAAAAGCCAATTGGGCGTTATATACCTCAACGATTCAGATTTTGCATGAGACGAACATCAGTCACTCGGATAATCTAACTGAACAGTACTCCTTCTTCATTAATAATATAAATACGGCCGCAGTAGCAGCAATACCCCAATATAAACCTTATAAATGTAAACGGCACCCACCCCCGTGGTGGAATATTGATTGTGACAATATTATCAAACAGCGAAAATTGGCTTTAATAAATTACAAAAAAAACACTAATTTTGAAAATTACGTTCAATACCAGGAGATCTCGGCTAGAACCAAAAAAACATTAAAAAATATAGCAAAAAAGCATTGGATTGAATGGGTCTCTTCCCTAAACAAAAATACACCAGCTACAACTCTTTGGAATCAAGCTAGAAAAATTTACAGAAAACCAATATCAAAAATAAAATCTTTCGATCAAAAATGGATTGATGACTTTCTTATTAAAGTTGCACCACCAACTGCGAACCCTCAAAAATCCAGCTACATAGATTCAACCCATTCTGAAAAAAATCATTTTCTACTAAAACCTTTCACTTACAATGAACTAATTTTCGCTATAAATGATCGTAAAGATAATTGTCCAGGATACGATCATATAAAATACTCCATGCTTATTAACCTTCCAGAAATAGCAAAACATTTTCTATTAGACCTTTTAAATCGGATCATTCAAGACAATTCTGAGTTAGATTTTTTTAAAGACATCATTGTTATTCCGATTCTAAAGCCTGCAAAAGATCCAAATTCAGCAGAATCTTATCGACCCATTTCTCTCTTTTCATGTGTATTTAAAACTTTGGAACGGATGTTAAAACATAGACTAGAATGGTGGGTCCATACCAAAAAATTACTACCAAATAATCAGTTTGGATACAAACGAGGATGTGGAACTTTAGATGCTCTAGCTACACTTGTAACGGACATACAGAGTAACTTTTCTAGAAATAACTATTTGCCTACTTTATCTCTAGATATAGAAGGTGCTTATGACAGTGTGTGTTTACCTCGATTAAAAGACAAAATGATCAATCAATTTCAAATACCCACAAATCTGGCACAAACCATAATTAATTTCTACACTAATAGACGCTTATACGTTAGAAACTATAAAAATGAATTTCTTGGACCACGTTATAATAGTTGGGGATTACCCCAGGGATCAGTCTTAAGCCCTTTTCTTTTTAATCTGTATACTGCTGATTTTCATAGCCTTAATATACAAAGTATCACTTACAAAACAATCCAATATGCTGATGACTTCCTAGTTTATACAGAAAGGACTAAATATGAACCTTCCATTACAATCTTAAGAAAATTACATGAACATTTCTCAAACTGGTTTTGTGAAAATGGTTTTAATTTATCAACTAATAAATCAAACGTGTGCATTTTTTCCCGACATAATATTCCGAACATAAATACTATTTTATTAAATGGCCAAAGTTTAAATTTCTGTAAGTCAATAAAATATCTAGGTATGTTTCTAGATCAAAAGTTAACATGGAAAGTACACATCGAGTATATGCTTGACAAAAGCAATAAAGGTCTCAATTTTTTAAAATCAATTTCTAAAACTTGGTGGGGTGCTGACGTAGAAACGGCTTTGCTTTTTTACAAATCTTACATCAGATCCATTCTGGACTATGGATGTATACTTTATGGATCAGCAAGTAAACAAATTTTAAATAAAATTGATGTATTTCAACGGACTGTTCTACGTACCTGTATGGGAGCAATGAAGTCTACTCCAATAGCTCCATTGCATGTTGAAGCTTTAGAACCTCCTTTAAATTTTAGACGAGATTATCTAAGTGAAAAATTTGTAGTGAAAATTTCATATATCAACAATTCTTTATATTCTGACATAAGCTCACTAAATACCGAGGATCTAACAAACAGTTACTGGATTCATAAAAATTCACCAACTCTTTGCACGGCCTTTAGAGCCATGTGTAACAAAAAGTATACCAACAGTATTAGCAACCTTGATATTAACGACTATTTCGCATTTTTTAATAAAGCTGATATACACATACCAACATATTATAGTACTCCATTATTAGATTCATCCATCTTAAATTCTTATATAAAAAAATGGCCCATGGCAACTGTAATCTATACAGATGCATCCAAAACATCGGAAGGGACCGGATGTGCTTTCTACATTCCATCCAAGTCAATGGAAAAAATGTTCAAACTACCTCTCAATTACTCAATTTTTAGTGCTGAAGCACTTGCAATTCTTGAAGCCTTGAAATATTTCGACAGTTTAAACAATAATGCAGTTTTAATAATATCCGATTCATTATCAGTTTTATTATCTCTCAAAAATACAAAGTTGCCCAATTATAATTCTAATCCTTTTATTTACCAAATTAAGAACATGCTTGTCAACCTTAAAAATAAAAATAAAACTACGAATTTTATTTGGGTAAAGGCTCATGTTGGTATAAAACATAATGAGCATGTTGATTCTATTGCAAAAGCTGCAATAACCTCGACAGCTGAAATTTTACCAGATGAGAGAATTTGTGTTCCTGATGCTTTTCTCATCTCTAAAAAAAATCAAACAGATCGTTGGAACACTTCCTGGCAAACTTTTTGCGACCATTCAACAACACAATACGTGCATATACAACCACACATCCCTAATTCCAGATGGTTTAAGAATTTCAATACCGCTCGTAAATATACAACAACTTTAATAAGATTGAGATTTGGCCACGCTTGTTATCCTGTTCATCTTGCTCAAATTAAAATATACAATTCAGACTTATGCGAAACTTGTCAAGAACAAGGAGATCTTAACCACATCTTTTTTAAGTGTTCCAAATATCTTCAGCATTCAGGAACTCTTTTAAACAACTTACAATCTCTGCAAATATTTCCTCCATATCACATAAATAACCTGTTGGCTACTAATAATAAAAAAGTCTATGATTGTTTGATTAAATTTATACATAGTGCAAATGTGTGTCTGTAGTCAATCTTAGCTAAGCTCGTTAACCTTTGTTTTAACCCAATTGTTGTTTACCTTTCTTTCCGTGACCTATTGCTAGTAATGTCTTAAACAAATGTCCTGATGGGTCCCTGGACGAGAAGTGAGTATCCCTGTTTTTCCTTATATTTGTTTTTTCTTGCTATAATTTTCTCTTTTTATTTGATTCAGTTATAGGGATTTTATACGGTTTTTTGACTCGAATAGACACACTTTTTGCACTATAGATTATACACTTATGTATGTATACACTTGTATATGTACACTTATGTATGCACTTATGTGTATGCATACATTTTATTTTTTATTTTTTTTTAGTATTAATTATATTGGAATATTGATATTATTAATTTTTCTTTTATTATTTCTCTATACGTAATTGGCTAAATAGCTAAGTGTTAAAGCCACAAAAAAAAAAAGAAAATAAAACAGCAATTCCAATTAAAAATAAATCAATAGAAAACAACATAGTGTTTACAAAAGCAGACAAAGGTAACACTACTACTGCTATAGATAAAATAAAATATAATAACAAAACATTAGAATTTTTAAATAATCAAAATATTGAAAAGTTACACAAAGATCCGACAGAAAAGTATCAAAAACAAATTAAGCTAGCGTTAGAAAATTCAAAATCAATAGTAAATCCAACAGAACAGAAATACCTCAATATCATGAACTCACAGCTTCCTAAATTATACTCTTTTATTAAACTACACAAACCGGATCACACAATAAGACCTGTAGTTTCTTTTTATACAGCTCCGTCATATAAACTTTCAAAAAAAAACTGTTAGAAATTATTTTAGAACACGCTAAATGTTCAGCTAAATTTACCATAAAAAATACAATAGAACTAGTTAATAAAATACAACATTATCAATTACCTAACAATTCCAGATTAATTTCATTTGACGTAAAAAATCTTTTTCCTATTATTCCTCCTACAGACATTTTTTAATAAACGAATAGCAAAACATAACAGGGCTTTCAATAATAGAAAAACAGATTTTACGAGGATAGATTGATATTAAACTAGCTTTTGATAGATGGCGCTACTTGATACCGAATTGGTTTCGGTGTTGACATTTGCCATTCATGACATGACGTCTGTCAAAATTTTAAGTTTTAAAAACAATTAGTTTGGTTTTTACAGCCGTCAAAAGCAAGCAAATTTTGTGTTTTCGGAGAAATGGAAAAAGTCGAGTATCGTTCGGTGATTAAGTTCCTCCACAAAAAGGGTAAAACGAATGTGCAAATCAAAGCCGACCTGGACGAAGTTTATGGTGAGGTTGCACCTTCGTTAGCAACAGTAAAATTTTGGAAAGCTGAATTTGTTCGTGGTCGTACGAGTGTTTTTGATGATGAGCGTCCCGGGAGGCCAAATGAAGTCACCACGCCGGAAATGATCAACAAAGTCCATGACATGATTATGGCAGATCGTCGAATTAAGCTCCGCGAGTTAATAGAGGTCCTAAACATTTCCTACGAACGCGTACACAACATCATTCACCATCATTTGGACATGAAAAAGCTATCCGCGCGATGGGTGCCGCGTTTGCTGACAATCGATCAAATGCAAAAACGTGTGACCACTTCGGAGACGCTTTTGGCGATGATACGGCGCGATCAGAAGGATTTTTTTCGCCGATTTATCACCGTTGATGAAACCTGGGTGCATTATTATACACCAGAAACCAAAGAACAGTCGAAACAGTGGCGCAAACGCGGCGAAGGGCCGCCGAAGAAGGCAAAGAGTGCACATTCGGCCGGCAAAGTGATGGCGACTGTTTTCTGGGATGCGAAGGGCATCATCCACATCGACTACTTGGAAAAAGGAAAAACAATCAATGGTGAGTACTACGCAGCATTATTGGATCGATTCGATGCCGAATTGCGTCGAAAACGCCCCGGTTTGGAAAGCAAAAAAGTGCTCTTTCGCCAAGACAATGCACCGGCTCACCGATCGGCCGTCGCCATGGCAAAATTACACGAATTGGGCTATGAATTGGTTGAACACCCACCGTATTCCTCAGATCTTGCCGCCAGCGATTTTTTCCTGTTTCCAAACCTAAAAAAATGGCTCGGAGGACACCGTTTCGCAACAAATGATGAAGTCGTCGCTGAAACTTCCGCCTATTTTGAAGAGCTCGAGCAAAAGTACTATTCGGATGGGATAAAAAAATTGGAACATCGTCTTACTAAGTGTATCGAGCTAAAAGGGGACTATGTTGAGAAATAAGTCGATTTAATTCCAAAAAACTTGTTTTTTCTATCAAAGGCTAGTTTTATATCAATCCACCCTCGTATATACGCACTTCACCTTCTAGATCATAATCATTCTTTTAATGACGAATTTAAAATTTTTCACATTCAAAATAAAGGCCTTAAGCTATCTTTGTTAGAATCTATGGAAATTAACAAATTAAAAAACACAGATATAATTCTGAATGACCAACTTGAGACAAACAGTTCTCCCCTCCTCAACCTATTTCATTAAAGACTATAAAGTGTAAATGCATGCCAAAAATAGATCACTTGAGAAAGGCAATCAGCCGAAACAGCTGTAGTGATAAAAGTATAATAAATTTTGTGGAAGTTTTGAAAACAAAGTTTTCGGTGTTTTATTGTTACATAAAATTAATTTCCATCAAGTAACGGTCGAATCCATCAATTATTAACAATATTTATCTAGAATTATGTTTAGTTACTCATTTTTAGTTAGTTATTAAAAAGTTTTTTACTTTTCAGAAACGAAACTTTTTGTAGCCATAAAATGCCATCTCTACTTTCTAAACGACAGACTGATGATAATGTAAGTGCTTCCATTTTACTTTTATTATCAAGAAGAATCAGGGAGGGTTTTACAATAGATGTAAGTATTTTTCTTACAAATTGTGAGAAACACCTTTTCTTTTTTTTTTAAATCTGTATTCAAAACAGAGTATATTTTTTATTAACTCACATTAAAATTACAATCTATCCAAAATTAAAGAGGAATAAGTAATTAGTTTCTTTATATAGCGTGTAGGAGACTCTTCCAGTGAAGAGGTTCGTTTCTTTATTTAGCAACTGGATATTTTACTAATTTGTCGTGAATAGTTTAATTAAACAGTATGTAAGTTAAAAGCAATAAAATAATAAAACTCAATCACAACTACATATCACATAATTAAGATCTTTTACAAAAAGATGCACAGAAGATAGACCTGGGAAAGTCCAAGCGGTAGAACAAGGAACGAAATCGACTACATCGTAAGTGACAAAAAACAAATAATTAAAGATGTAGCAGTAGTCAATAAGTTTACCACAAGCAGTGACCACACAATGATACGAGCGAAAGTCCAAATCAACACAAAAAGAGAAAGAAACATAATGATTAAAAATAAATCTCATGGTATCTGGATCCATTAGATATCAACCAATATCAGGCACATATCAATAATAAACTACTACTGCATGAAACCTCTGAGAACGATCTTAACGACTTGAATAATTGCATCATAAACGCCTTACAAGAAAGTCACCGAGTGCACTGTCCGAAAAGAAAATCAGAGAGTAAAATAAGTCCATATACTGAAACGCTGCTAGATCAAAGAAGACAAATGAGAAGCGATAAAAATGCAGACAGTCACACTCTAAAACAAATTAATAAACCTGTTTCGAAGGCAATGAGGAAAGATTTAAGGTAATTTAAAACCGATAATATTAAACGTACTAATATCGTTTTCATCGTTCTTGGCGTGTGCGTGTAAAAACACTTGCAATAAGTTGTTTCATCTGTCTTTCCTTGTCTAAGCTCGATTCGTTTACCTCCTCCAGTGGCGGAGCAAAATGTAGCATGTCAAACGAAATAATAGTCATAAAAGAAAATTATACAGGATATAACGAAAAATACATTTTAAAAGGATTTTGAAATATACCCAAAAAAGTGTTATTTATTTAACCCACTTTAATTAAAAAATGATACAGATTTTTTAAGTTTTAAGCACTGTAGCGAATTCTGAACTGTTACAACGTACTGACCTTGATTAATTAGCTAATCAGTCAGCGTCTTCACTGGAACTGTCTTCATCATTGGAATCTTCCGCCAAATCGATGATAATCCTACTTTCATTTTCATCATATGTGACCATTTTTGCCCAGTCGTCCTGAATTAATTTTTCAGTATGGTTAACACAACTCGCCCACACTGCAGGTGTTGCCTCAGCTAATGCATCGCCCCAAACTTTTTTCACTGTTTCATCTCCACGTCCATGTTCTCCAATATGACGATCATAGTATTGTTTAGAAATGCCCCAGACCAACTCAATCGGATTATATTGACAGTGATATGGAGGCAATCTCAAAACCTGATGCCCATGTTCTTGGAGTAGCTCGTCTATAACGTACCTGGTATTTTGTGGTTTATTCTGGCGACAAAGACTCAATAGCTCTGTCTTGCCCGAATCGTCGTCAAAAATTATTTTTTTCGCTCGTAACCATTCTTGTAAGTCCGATTTTTTCCAACTGGCATTCGGTAACTTTTCTATTAAAGAGCTATGGTATGAGGCATTATCCATAATAATTAGAGATGGTTCCTCCAACATTGGTATCAGCTTTTCGGAGACCCACTTTTTAAAAGACTCTTTATCCATAGAATCATGATAGTCTGCACTCTTCGATTTCGTAGAAAACAGTAATCCAGCATCTTTAACAAATCCTTGCCTACTTCCGGCATGTAAAACAACAAAGCGTTTACCTGTATTTTCGTGTCCTTTTCTGATGCTTTTCACACAGTCATCTTGCCAAGTACGTTTATATGCCCCTTTTAGGAATATCCATGTTTCATCTAAAAAAACGAACTGAAGTGGGCTTGGACTTAAAAAATTTCTCATATAATGCCTCAAAAAATACAGTCGTTTGGAGACAATACATGGTTTCTCACATAGCACTCGTCTACTATTTTCTAGTTTGTATGAAAACCCACAATTTTTCATAAGACGCCACAAACTTGTATCAGAACCGTCATAGAGATGCTTGTTTCTTAATTGTGTATTTAGAACTTTAATTGTAACGTGCTCTCCTTTTGCTTTCATGCCATACAGTACATTTCTAATCTCTCCTTTTATAGTATCGCTGACATCATTAGTCTTTTTTTTGTACATTACGTGACTCTCCTGGTGTAGTAAGAGCTGCCCCTGTCTTGTATTCACTCTTTATTCTTGTCACTGTGCGAAGACTGATTTTCAAAGCGTCCGCTACTCGTTCATGTACCGATGATAACGAAAGCAAAGGTCCGTTGTTTTCTTTTTCTTTTTTAAAATACTCCAATAAATGAACTACACATTGTCGCATTTCTCCTGTTATCGTTTTTCCCGGCATTTTTTTTATTAAATAGAACAATTAGTTATTCACAACAAAAAATAATAAGTAAAACTGTTCGGAACAAATTCCAACAATGACTGACTAAAATCGACTAAAACAACATAAAATATCAATGGTAATTGCTACAATTATAAACCTATTAGCCAGCTCATTCAAGAACAATGCCACAAGTCATTATTGCAATGGGTATCGGAAGAGAGAGAGAGTTAATTTATAATAAACTGGAATTTTTAAGGTGTCGAGAGTATTATTTTATGTAATGGAATTCCACACAGTAAGAGCTCAAACTATTAATTAATTAAAAACTGTTTACTTATAAAAACTATTTCATCAGCTACTTCAAACCTGCACAGATCAGGGTAACATGTTAAAAAAAACACGTCACTGCCAGCTATCTGTATTCGTAAAGAGGCCGAACTTATCACCGACACCGTATCGGCCAAACGCATCGGTGTTATTGCTACAATACTGGGAGACGTGAGTGGTCTCTTCATTCCCTTCTCATCGCACTTTACCATGACGAACGTGACTCGCACAATTGAATTACGCATCTGTGTATCAGAGAGAGACGAATATTAAAAATTCCGTAGTAGCTTATTTCAGGCACACGCCAAGAACGATGAAAACGAGTATATACAGGAAAATAACAACTTAAAAGTTCTACGTAGAAAGTTAACGAATGGGAAATGCGAAATTCATAAATTAAGAAACAAGCAAAATTAAATAATATCACGTAGAGACGAGTTAATACAGGTCGTCGAAGAGTTTTACGAGGAATTATATGGAAGTAGACGAGAAGATCAAACAGGAATACAAACAGCCATTTCAAAGAAGATCATGAATCAAGGTTCCGAACTAATGCCAGAAATAAAGGTAGATGAGATTCGACAAGCGTTAAGAAAAATGAAAAATAACAAAGCCCAGGAGAGGATGGAATTGTAATAGAAGCTATCGTAAATGGAGGAGATATGCTATTAAATCAATTAAGGAAACTGTTTAATCTATGTTTGCAGCAAAGAGAGGTGCCCAAAGAATGGAACAATGCTATAACCATCCTTTTACATAAAAAAGGAGATAGAACGGACCTAGAAAATTATAGATCTATTAGCCTGTTAAACCACATATACAAGCTCTTCACTAGGTTAGTGACGTCAAGATTGGAGAAAAAATTAGATTTCTACCAACCGAGAGAGCAAGCAGGATTAAATTATGGTACCAATAATCACCTTCACACAGTAAAGTCGCTCATTGAAAAATCTATAGAATATAACAAACCTCTTGTCCTCACTTTCATAGATTTTCATAAAGCGTTCGACACGGTCGAAATAGACAGCCTTATAGAAGCAATGAACAATATTGACAAAAATGCCACTATGACTGTTACGATACACGATAAAACCCGACCAATAAAAATAAAACGTGGGATAAGGTAAGGAGATACATTCTCACCGAAATGATTCATAACGGTATTAGAGTATACCTTTAACATGGTCAGTTGAAACCACAAAGGAGTAACAGCAGACGGCGGAAAGCTTAACCATCTCCGTTTCGCAGATGACGTCTTTATCACAGATAATTTAGGAGAAGCCACAGATATGTTAAATGAATTGACTTTGCATGTTCGAAGGTGGGCCTCAGAATGAACTTGACCAAAACTAAGTTTATGACAAATATGATCCCCAATAACCATTTAACTATTCAAAACAAAGTGATAGAACTCGTAGAGAAATATACGTATTTGGGTCACGAAATAAGAATCAGCAGGGATAACGAAACATGCGAAATCCAAAGACGAATTACTTTAGCGTGGATAGCCTTTGGAAAGATGTGGGACACACTTAGGGTCAACATACCAATTAGCCAAAAAAAAAAAGTATTTGACCAATGCGTATTACCGGTCATGACCTATGGTGCGGAAACTATGACTCTAACCAAGACTACGGCTTCGAAATTGAGAGTGGCACAGAGACGAATGGAACGGTCTATGCTGGGAGTGACGTTGCGGGACCGAATAAGAAACGAAGATCTGCGAAGAAGGACGAGTATTGCTGATGTTGTGGAACGCATAGTGGAACTAAATGGAATTGGGCAGGCCATGTAGCGAGAATGCATGACTTACGATGAACGAGCAAAATTACACATTGGAGGCCAAGAGCAGACAAACGTAGTAGAGGAAGACCACCTACACGTTGGGCTGACGACATCAGGCGTATCACCAAAAATTGGCAACAAAGAGCACAAAATCGCAAAGAATGGAAGAGTTTAAGGGAGGCCTATGTCCAGCAGTGGACGTGATAAATGAAGGGTGGATGATGATGATGTGGTTATGCTCTCTGGGCTTATGTGATTCCTGGTTGAATGTTGGATGTTCTATTGTTATTTGGATGGTCATTTTTCTGTCTTAATTTTCGGTACATTTTTCTTTGCAGTTACTTATAGACTATGCACCCTCTGTAATTCGCTGGATAATTTTCGTATTATATTTCGACTTATGTAATCTTTAGTCTTCCTGGATCAAACTTTCGTAAAATAACTCTCGACACTGCGAGGCTTTCTGTGAGAAAAAATTTTTGTGTGCCCATATCCTTGACATCGCAAGCACTGTTGTATGTCTCTGTTGGAACGTGGTGCTTCAAAAACTACATTTGAGTGCATTAGATATTTCGTTGTATATATGTTAAAAACAGAATATATTTATTAGATATTTAATCGGTTACTGTGTCAAAATTATGTATTATTTTTTTTAATTTATAGAACATTTTCTACATGAATGGGAACTTAGAAATTAAACTTATACTTCAATGGAAAGCATCAATTTACGTTCATTATAGAGTAAGATCTCAATGGCCTGCTTCTAAAAATATCACACATTTTGAAGTATACATATCAGGTAAGCTTTAAAACTTAAAATAACTATTTCTCATTTTTTATTTTGAATCTCAATATTTTATATTTCTTTTGTAGCTCCTTATGAGTTTCTTCATGATATTACGTGTATAATAAAAAAAGAATCCAAATCTTTATACAGACAAGCTATTATAGAACGTTTCTGGATGAGACTGTCCCAATTATCATCAGGGGATTTAGGCCTAGCTCAACAATTAAGTTCTTTCCAAAGTAACAAAGACTGGTATACTCTCCCAGAGAGTGTACGGAATGGAATACCTGTATATGTGCTAAATAACTCCAGTTGTTCAGACGCAACAAGACTCATTCTGTCTCCAAGGTTAGTAGGTGTAACATATTCTACGATTTTTGGGTAATTTTTTTAAGATTTTAGTGATGTTTCAAGTCTAAAGTTCATAAACATGTGGCAGCCAATATGTCAAATGGAAACAAATAACTGGAGGAAATGGTTCCATGTTCATAAAATTTCTCTAATCTTGCAGCATGATAATCCTCTTCCCAAGTATTTACATTCAGCAAATGCTTCTCAAAGATTCCAAGTAAGTTTTTGTATTTTTTGTACTGCAATAAATATAAATTAGATATTCTGTTGTAATATATTTGATTTTCTAGTTAAATTTTGGGACAGACAACTAATAGACTAATATAGTACGTTAAGTTTTGGATTAGATATTGCAAACTACATTAGATTAGCAAAGCGTTAAAGTCGGAAAAATTGCCTCGTACGAGGTAATTGTAATTCTCGATCTCCTCCGACAACACGACAGAAAATCAAAATCATTGAAAATCATTTAATAACACATAACAACGGATGGGATTTACACATGGTACAATGAACACAAGGTATGATACACAATGTTCCAAAATCGGTTCGCTTTGCGCATGACGTAGTAAAGATCCCTTCTTCACGCAACAGTTGAATGTAGTTGTATAGAAAACACTTTTAATTTTAAGTTATAATTTTTTATAGTTATATTTTAATATAATATGGCTAATTTAATTATAGTAATTGAATCGGTTATTTCTGAAAGGGCTTAAGTGCTATTTCGACAATTTTTCTTTTAATATGCAAAAATCTATCGTTTGGTGCAGAAATGAAGTAAATTCGATTATTTTTTACTTGCATGTATGTGTGAGAAAATAATGGTTTACCGCAGAAAAGACCTAAGTAAACTAACTTAGTCCGTTTAAGAAATAAATATTTAAATTTATGTCGTACTGTATCTGACCTTGCTCTCTGTTTTGGTTTAAAATGCAAGCCTCGTGTCGCGAAATATTTTCAGTGATTTACTGGCTTCGATACTGTGTGCAGTTAAGTGCAATATAATCACATGTTTCTGGCAATATGTCTAGTTCGGACGAAAATACTGAAAGTGAAGGGGAGTCACATCAATTAGATAATCTTAGAAAAAAAGGCGAGGTTTGAGAAATGATGATAATTACCAAAGAAATTTAATCAAAAAAGCTAGAGTCAGTGGTACTGCGTATACAGAATATAAAGGAAAGATGGTTGCTGCCAGGCAAATCGAAGGTGCAGTTATATATTGAATAGTCTAGGTATATAAATGTGTTATTTTTTAGATGTAAAATGCAGTGTTATACTAAGCTAAACGATGAGCAAACACAAATAGTATTTGAAAATTTGAGAAAGTCAAAAAAATAAAAACAATAAATTAAGGGAAGTACTTTTTGATCATTTTATTCGCGTTGGAGATCTGAAAGTAAAAGTGTTTTTTTGGGGCTTTTTGAAATTTGCATTCTCTATTTGAAAAAAGAATAAAACGAATAAAATCATTGATTGAAAATAATCTGACTCCTAGAGATAAACGTGACAAAAATATTGAAGGGCAATGCCAGAAGATCAAAACATAATAACTCATCAGCACATTCAAAGCTATCCAGTAAAAGAAAGTTACTATTCGGGAAAAGAATATAAATATCTAGATAGTAGGTTTAATATAAAAATTATGTACGAAATGTTTAGATCCAAGTATCCTGAAACGAAAATTAAATACAGCTATTATACATTTTTTCGCGAAAACTTTACGTTGAAATTTGGCCATCCTCAAATAGACACATGCGTAAAATGTGAAGAGTTGAATTTAAAAATCAAAGGTCCCTCTCTGGGAGATGCCCCAAAAAAAGTAGCTGTTACAACATTGTTTGTGCATAAGGGGCCAACAAGTTTTATACGAATTTAAAGGATACTGTTAAGAGTGTCATGATAGGAACGACGTGGTAGGGCTCGCATTTGACTATATGCAAAATGTTCATCTGCCGCATATACCTGTACAAGAAGTCTTCTTATACAGAAGGACTGGCGAATAAGGGCCCTAATGAAGTATGCACGTTTTTGCTTGATTATATAAAAAATTACATACCACCCAACATAAAATAGTTGAAACGTTTTTGTGACAATTGCCCTGGGCAAAATAAGAACCACACTATTATAAGATTATGTTTGGCCCTTACAGATATGAGGCGCTTCGATAAAATTGAACATTATTTTCTCATTACAGGGCAATCCTTCATGCCCTGTGACAGGGATTTCGGTGTCATAAAAAGGTACTTAAAAAATTTTACAGAATATTTGAAATTCATAAGTACACAGAAATTATTGTTAATTCAAGTGCCAAAAGCAAGTGTACTGTAAAAGAAGTTTAAAGTATTGAGATTTTTGATCTTAAGCAATGATGACAAGTATTATAAAAAGACAAGCCTGTCCACTGAATCTCAACAAATAAATGTTCCGATCTAATTTCGACATTTCGATCTCAAAAAACACATTTTGCAATTTCGACCTTGAACCATTATGCATATAACTCCGAAACTCCAGGTTATGTAAGGGCATCTGAATATATTAATAGCATTTTTGGTGTTAATCACCTCTATTTTTCTTTACCGAAACTCAACAGCCAATTTAGTATCGAATGGCCCAAAATACCAGCATATGCTGAAGGCATGGTGCCAATTATGGAAACAAAAATATGCCATTTGCAAAGCCTTAACCGGTCGGTACCAGAAGATAAGCAAGAGTTCTACGTCAACATAATTAATTCCTAGCCATAAAAGACAAAAAAATCCAAAACCAAAGCATCTTAATAGAACTGAAAACCATGTTTTTTTTAGATTTTGTTTTAAACTTTGTAAGAATAATGTTTTATTTCTATGTTTTATATTATATTATTTCTTTAATTTTGATTAAATATATTTTTGTGGCTGTTTTTCAAAATAAAATTACCATATTATAGGATTATATAAAAACCCAAAAAATTAAATTTGCTTTATGAAATGTATTATTCTGAAAGGACCTAAGTTATTTTTTTTGAAAAAATCTGTCCAATGAAGATAATCCAAAATATTAGATTGATTTGATTAATCTGCACCTTTAACCGAACCATACTAGTGAAAAAAATAATAAAAAGTTTAAAATATCAAGAGGTTAAAAAATAAACAACATTTTTCTGTTTTTCTCAAAACTTGAAAATGTCACTTAGTCAAGGATCAAATATGAGCGCAGCGATGTCACTCAATATTACACAATGTTTTAAATGCCGTCTTTTATAATTTAAACACATAAAATTATCTTGTTGTTGTTTAATAATAATACTAATATGTAAGCACTACGAGCATAGTAGGCCCATGGCTTGATGTACTATTCTTTTCCACTTCCTTTTGTCAATTGCTTTTATTTCCCAGTTTGTTACGTTAAGTCTTCTGATATGTTCTTTACTATAGAATATAATAAATTAAACAGCAGCCAAACACTACAGGTACTTTTCAAGACACTATAATGCTTTAACTGAAGAAAAACGCGGTAAGTTACTACAATGTCAAAAAAAAGCCGTTAAACTATCATTACAAATAATGGCCCCGAGAGATATTTGCTACGTCACACGCCTGGCTCAGCTGTCAAATATCATGCGCAATATCATACCATGTGTTCATTGTACCATGGGATTTACATCTCCGTCATTCGAATTCGATGTTTGTTTTCATTGCGTATGCCTGGTTCATTTCTTAGAGTACATAAACTCGATAAAAATACACTGACCTTTAAAAAGCGGTACATTTGTATCAGTTTTTAATATTGTGAAAAATTTTTTCTGGTTGAATTAAAAATAAAATCGCATTTCTTTAAAAAGATAAAACAAAAAAATATACTCTTATATAATAATTCCTAATAAAATAAGAAATAATTCTTTATGCCCTAAAGAAATGATTAAAATATTTGACCTTCTATGGCTGAACAGTATCCCAATCTGTCATAAAAACTTCTGCGGGCATAAAGTTTCTGCTGTCACAGAATTGGAGAGTTATCTTATTCGCTTTTTTAATTCATAAAAATTTAGGTCTCGAGTCTCAGGATGATCGTAGATGATCTGGAGATCGCGCAGGCCACTTAATATCGCCTGTTTCACTGATCACTCGATTCGGGAAAGTATTGTTTAAATACTCCCTAATAATTCGAGCGTTGAGAACTGAACAGTCGTCGTGATGGAACCAAAGATTCTCCAGATTTACATCAGGAAGATTGAGAATAGCGGGAAGAACATGATTCTGTAACAAATCGAGGTATACTCTACTATTTAAAGTTGCCCTCAATAAAAAATAGACCTATTATGTGGTCTCCTAAAATGCCAGTCTACACGTTACCTTTTTGTGGACGTTATGTTCGGTTAAAAACATTTCTGTGCTGGTTTTCCCGCTCACAATACCTCGTAATAAAAGTATTGTGTCTCCCTACTAACGAAACAGAAGATTTATCAGTGAATAAAATGTTTTTAATAAATTTTGGTTCATAATTAACCTTCATTATTAGAGTTTCACAAACCTCCATTCTTCGAAAGTAATCGTCTTGATAAAGCTGCCACGTTTTCGAATATTTAAAATTCTTGTAACCGTCCTTTTTCCATACTTTTGTTACAGTAACATTGCTAACATTTAAAGGCGAAGTCCCATGCATCCGATTTTCGAAAATCGTCTGTTTTTGTAGTTGCTATTTGGAAGCTAGTCACATGGTACGATTGTCGGATACGAAACTCCGTATAAACTGTCAATGGACATTTTTTTGGTTTGGATGTTTGGCTGGTAATTGTTGTTTTGCCACTTTTGCATGATAAAACAGCAGAAGGCATTATTTCCGCATTCTCCTGCTTTCAATTATTCAGTTTATTATGGATAATGTAAAAGAAACTATGTAGACTCAATAACTTTTGAAATGTGTAATTAGGCATTCTAAGGTAATTGCAATATTTATCAACATTATTTAGCTTCATTTCCTGCAATAGATTATTAAAAGCCCCTTGTGACTTTCTTTGCTTAAATATTTGACGAACCAATTCTTTTCTTTGCCCAAATGTACGTTTTTTTTTTTGCGAATTAAAAGAAGTAGACATAATAATAGCGTTTTATTAACTTTAGGAACATAGCTTCTTCGATTAAAATTCATGTTTCAATAAATTGAAAGTAGAGATGTTAAACTATTGGAATACAATTAGGTTACAAAAAATTCGTTTTATCGGAAAAAGTTAAAATA